GGACGGAAAAAAGTCCCTTCGTGTCAGCCGCCTCCTGGATTATGCCGGGCAGCTCCAGAGGAGGGCACCGATGGCTGGGAGCAGTGTGGTCGCCGATGCGAAAAAGGTCCGGGGGGGCATCGTTCCGACACTACACTCTCCAGGAGTGAGCGAGCAGTGGGGGCTGCTGCTGACGTCGCCTGTCCCGGAGGAGCCATCTGATTAGCTCCGAGAGTCGGCGATAAATTGAAAATTACAAGATGGCGGCGTCCAGCATGTAGCGAGCCGCCACTGAGAAATATTCCTCTGCGCTTAACTTGAAACAAGACTGCTCGTCTGCTTCTCCTCGGGGAGGAAAACTCACCGGGGCGGCAGGAGGTTTGCGTGGCGGGGCCACAGGCAGCCTTAACAAAGGTTGAGCTGGTCAAGCTGAACAACTCCCCTTCTTCGTTCTTCTGACAGTGCTGTTAGCTTGCTGAAGAAAAATGGGAGCCGATTAACCGCTCTTAACGTAACTTATACGGACCGGGTGGGGCCCACACAACAGGTGGGCGTGGACTAAATTTTTCAGTGCGATGCTTTGCGTGATGGGATAAACCCACTAAGCGACAGCTCTTAAAGGGTGAAGCCTATACAAAATAGAACTATTATTTTTGTGACATTTATTTTGTACAGACCTTTTTAAGGTCTATTCAGGGGTACTGGAGAAGAGAGTCCGATTCTTGGTCGAACCACAGATCCAGGAGGAACAATGTGGATTCTGTCCTGGCCGTGGAACACTGGATCAGCTCTTTACCCTGACTAGGGTCCTTGAGGGATCATGGGAGTTGCTCATCCAGTCTACATGTGTTTTGTGGACTTGGAGAAGGCATTCAACCATGTTCCTCGGGGTACACTGTGGGGGGGTGCTCCATTAGTATGGGATTGGAGACACGTTGTTACAGACTGTTCAGTCCCTATACAAGCGGTGCAAGAGTTTGGTTCACATTGCCGGCAATAAGTCGGACCCCTTCAGGATGGGAGTTGGACTCTGCCAGGGCTGCCCGTTGTCACAGATTCTGTTCATAACTTTTATGGACAGAATTTCTCAGTGCAGCCAGGGGGTGGAGGGTTTCCGGTTCGGTGGCCTGAGGATTCCATCTCTACTCTTTGCAGATGATGTGGTCCTGTTGGCTTCATTGTGCCGTGATTTTCAGCTCTCACTGGAGCAGTTCACAGCAGAGTGTGAAGCGGCTGGGATGAGAATCAGCACCTCCAAATCTGAGGCCATGGTCCTAAACTGGAAAAGGGTGGATTGTTCTCTTCAGGTCGCGTGGGTGAGGTTCTGCCTCAAGTGGAGGAGTTCAAGTTTCTCCGGGTTTGTTCACGTGAGTAAATATCCTGATGCTGCTCAATAATCCAGGTAGAAAAATCCTAAAAAGTTTAATCTGGTCCTCTGGACATTCAAAAAAAAAAAAAAAACAAAGCAAAAAAAATGTAGATATGTTTAGTCTTTCGTCCTAAAGACTTCCTCAGTCCGAGGTGCTGTATTCAGCTCAGTCTCTTAAATAGCACCTTCTCAGAGTGGATCAACCACTCCTGAAATGCATGCTGTCTCCTCGTGAGAGCCGGTAGTTTGTTCGTCTTATTTACCAGCGAGCGGACATTCCCCATACTAATAGATGGAAGGTAGAGTTTATACTTCCTCCTCACCAGTCGCCATCTTTTTCCAGCTCTGCATCCCCGACGTTTCCTTCTGAGCTCCTCAGGGATTTTAAGTTTCCGGCCAAAGACTTTGCGGTGTTGGGAGACGGCTCAGCTGCTCCCTGGTGTAAATAATGGTGCCCAGCGCACGTCCAGAAGGATGGGGGTCGTCATGATAAAAACTACTCCAAACACAATTAAAACCAGGATAAAGGTACTGGAAAACACAGAGTTGCACTTCCCACAGAAACCAGACTGTAAAGTGCAAGCGTGGTTTGAAATGAGGAAAAATAACATAAAGACAAATAAACAAGAACGGAGAAACTCTGGCAGGCAGCCGCTCGCAGCAGTGCACGTGCACATTTAACATCCTGAATGTGGCTCCTAAGTTGGGACTGTGTATAAAATGTAAATAAAAGAAATAAATTATTTATAAATTTCATAAACTCATATTTTATTTGAAAGTGGAAGGGCTGTTGTTATTGTTGTACAATCTGCACTTAACCCATCAGAAGTGCACTCCAGTGGAGCAGGGAGAGAAGAGTGGTGCAACTCACAGACACCACCACATGTGAGCAAGGCAGGAAATTGAACCTGCAACTTTCTGATCCCAAGGTGGCTGCCATAGCAACCCCATAGTCACAATGGAACGTAGCAAACACATCAAATGTTTTCTTGAAAAAGCTGTACAATTTTTAGGGGGAAAAACTATTTTTGAATCTGAATCTGAAAGAATTGTTCCGGTAGTTTGTTTTGAGAATCGCCCCTCTTCTTGTAACAACGGTCTGTAGATATCCAGGAACTGAGTCCAGCTGCTGAAAGTTTTGGAGGGAATGTTTTTCATCCTTGTCTGGTGGAGGTTGTGCAACACTTCTGGCTTCTTTTTTTCCAATGATTTTTTGTTTTATGATTTTTTATCTTTACGTCAAAGTCTTTTGCTGGGTGGGAGAACATGTTCTAAAATCTTTAAATTGGAGCAGCTGTGGGAAATGGCTGCCCAAATTCACACCACTTTGTGTCTAAAGTGGTTAGAGCAGTCGTCCTCCAATGCAAGAGTTGGGGGTTTGATTCCACCAGCAGTCACATGCTGAAGTGTCCCTGGGCAAGACACTGAACCCCTCGTTGCCTCCGATGTGTCCAGTCAAGTATATGAATGTGATGAAACTCTGATTAGTCTCTGTATAGATCTAGTATAGAGCTGTATGAAGGAGTGAATGAGGCACAGATTGTAGTAAAGAGCTTTGAGTATCTGGGTAAGACAGAAACGTGCTAAAGAAGTGCAGTTCATTTACCATTTTTCCTGATGTGTAAGTTGCCCATGTTATTGCCACTGATGCACCCCCATACCATCAGAGAGGCCAGCTTTTGAACTATGAGTTAACAGGCTGGACTGTCCCTTTCTTTAGAGCACTTTAAGGAGGCAGCTTTTGTAGATGGCACAACGAACTGTTTGTGTGGAAGTGTTCCCGAGCCCTAAAGGGATGTCCAGAACAGAACCAGACCTGCAAGGGCCTGAAGATCACGACCATGAGAGATTTCTCCAGATTCTTTAAATCTGTTGATGAGATTATGAACTGTAGCTGATGGAGATTCAGAGTCTTTAGTTTTCTGTTGAAGAACATTTTTCTGAAAATATCCTGATGCATGCTCAATAATCCAGGTAGATAAATCCAAAAAAGTTCAATCTGGTCCTCTGGACATTCAAAAAAACAAAAACAAAGCAAAAAAATGTAGAAACGTTTCGTCTCTCATCCGAGAGACTTCCTCAGTCTGAGGTGCTGTTTTCAGCCCAGTCTCTTAAATAGCACCGTCTCAGAGTGGATCAACCAGTTTGCTGCTGACAACCAGAACCTCTGGGCCTTCCTGAAAGCAGAGAAGAAACCCAAACAGAACTCCAGTCAGCCAACAGGTGAAAAGGAGGAACCCAGACCCAGACCAGTGGTCATTCCATATGTTGAGGGGGTATCAGAGAAACTGAGACGTTTATTTTCTAAACATAACGTCCCAGTGGCTTTTAAACCCCAAAATACATTAAAGACTGGTTCATCCCAAAGATCCAGTCCCCCGGCACAAACAGAGTAATGTTGTGTATGCTGTTCAGTGTCAGGAGGGTGATCAGTCTTACATCGGGGAAACTAAACAGCCACTTGCCAAAAGGATGGACCAGCACAGAAGATCAACATCATCAGGCCAGGACTCTGAGGTCTACACTCATCTCCAGGCCAGAGGTCACTCTTTCAGGGATGAAGATGTTCACATCCTGGACAGAGAGGAACGATGGTTTGAGAGAGGAGTAAAGGAGGCCATCTTTGTGAAAAGAAATCGTCCATCATTAAACAGGGGTGGAGCCTCCAGGTTCAACTGTCCCCCTCTTACAATGCTGTGATTGCTAGTATCACTCAGCCCTCTGTGAACAGTAAACAGCCATCAGGTGCTAATGATCTATTGTTAGGCTGATGGTCCTTCTTGAGCATGTGATCAGCTGGTTCTGGTTGTCAGCAGCAAACTGGTTGATCCACTCTGAGAAGGTTCTATTTAAGAGACTGAGCTGAATACAGCACCTCAGACTGAGGAAGTCTCTCGGATGAGAGACGAAACGTTTCTACATTTTTTGCTTTGTTTTGTTTTTTTGAATGTCCAGAGGACCAGATTGAACTTTTTTGGATTTTTCTGAAAACTATTTTTGGATATTCAGCCTCTAAGTCTTTTTACACCCGGTCCTCTCTCTGACCTGCTGAAAATTAAACTGATTAGCGTAGAGGCAACATGCTCCTCCAGCCAGTTTATATTTGTCACGCTAACTTATTCAGCTTCTCATCGTCGCCTGGAACAACTTCTTTAAGATACCATCAACTTTAAACACATCAGTTATTCAGTTGCGAGAGTTCATACGTTTACAATGTTCCAATGTGAATAAAACACAGAACCAGTTTGTTCTGTTTGTAGTGGACGCAGCTTTTCAGAGTCAGGGTTGTAGATGGTGATCATGTAAATGGACTGCACTTCTACAGCTCCTTTCTATCTGATCAAGACACTCGGAGCTCTTCACTACAATCTGTGCCTCCTGTACCCATTCATACAGCTCTATACTAGATCTATACAAAGATAATTGAACAAATCATTCTAAAGAGACTAATCAGAGCTTTATCACATTCATTCACTGATGGGACACACGTCAGAGGCTACGTGTCTTGCCCAGGGACACTTCAGCATGTGACTACTGGTGGAATCGAACCGCCAACTCTTGCATTGGAGGACGACTGCTCTAACCACTGAGCCACAGCCGCCCCGTGAAGTGTGCAATGATCTGAGCTGCTGTGGTGCTGGTTTGTCTGCAGATCCAGAAGTCCTCCTGCTTCTCTGCAGTGGGTGGGGACGAACCTCCAGGGAGGAAAGGAACCATTTCTCAGTATTTCACTACTCTTCACTGCCCCGTGTGTGACGAACTGACCCAGCTGGGTGTCTGCTCGCGGTGCCGGTCCGAGCCCCAGCGAGTGGCCATTACTCTGCACCAGGACATGAGGCAGTGGGAGAGTCAGCAGGAGCAGCTGCTGAAGGTGACTACTCTGAATGAATTCATGTTTTGAATCGAACTCCTGTGGAGCCATTTTTGACACCAGTTTCCTCCCACAGAACAAAAACATGCGTGTTAGGCTGATTGGTAACTCTAAATTGTCCCTAGGTGTGAGTGTGTTTGTCTCCATGTGATGGACTGGAGACCTGTCCACAGTGTCCCCTATCCCTCACACAGTGATGCTGAATATGGCACAATGACCCCGTGACAATGGATGGATCTTCAGTTACAGCGTAACTGCTGAAATTACTGAACAAACTCAAACTGAGTTAAGGCTGAAAGAGGCGGAGCTAAAAGTAGCCAAAGGCTAACTAGAAACTAAAAAAAGAGCAAGTGTTGTTTATGAGCAAAGTGGGAAATATTTGTGAATAAGTATCAAACTTAGTCAGAGCACCCTCCTGAAAGAGCTGAACATTTTTTACATGAAAGGCTAAAACAAGCCAGAGACTAATGTTCAGTTCCGAGGTTTGACCAGGATCAGTCGGGAGCTAAAGATGGTGGGCAATACGCACTCTGACACCTTTATCTGAACGTGAAGTGTTTTTTGTTTGAATCAGGAACCTGTCGGTCGTCTGATTGTAACTTTTGTGTTCAGATCTGTAGGAACTGCAGCAGCGGCGCCGAGCGGCAGGTGCCCTGTGTGTCCCTGGACTGTCCTGTCCTCTACAAACTGTCCCGGGTCAACAGACAGCTGTCCAAGGCCACCTACCTCAGACAGCTGCTGGAGCAGTTCTGACAGGCTCCTGGATTTACTTGTTACTTTTACCGGTGCTTTGACTGAACCTTCTTGTTTTGTATCTGTTACAAGTTTCTCGGGCGTCATCATGTTTTATTTCTTTTTGTTGACGAGTTAAAAGAAGCAAATGGATGAAACGGCAGCAAACACAACCGAATAGACTTGTTGCGTCTTGTGTGTGCTGAAGTGTTTGGACTTTGGTTTTTAACGAGGTCTTCACAAACACCAAGACACGTTGCATTAAAACCACTCCGACTTTATTTTATGCAGTCTTTGGTCCATGTTCCTCACAGATCCAGACCACCGTGCACAATGAGCAGCTGGCGTTCAGCAGTGACATTTTCAAATTTCTAACCTTGATTGTACCGAAGCAGGTCCAAAACATTAAGACGACTGGAAACCTGTTTTCTAGAAGTCTGGGACTGTTGCAATATATTTTAATAATGTATGCTGTGCTGTCTGTTCTGGCCTTCATGGTGTTTTTCAAACATTTTCCATCTGCTCTCCATTTCATACAGCTGTACACAGGATGCATGCATTTGTAAAAATGTATAGAAAACGTGTTTTGGATTGTAATTGTTGTGGGATGAGGTCTGAGACTGATTTAATAAAAACTCCATGTACTCTTGTCAGATGACTGTGAACATGTTAAATAACTAACTCACATTTTAAACGTTAAACCGGTCGGAGCTCAGTGAAAACATCGTCTTCAACAAGGCACTGAAGCCAGGCCTGGGATTTGTGCTTTAATGTGTTGGGCTCAACCAGTGTTCCCTTAGAAAACTTGCCATGGTGGGACACTCTTCTCGTCCATGGCTTTTTTTTTTTTTTTT